AAGACTTGGTTATTCCAGCTTGCAGGACTGGCCTAGGGTAATTTTTAGAGGGGTTTTAATTACATTTTAATTGGACAAAATTTAAATATTTCTTTTAATTAATTTTAAATTTGTATTGTTATTTATGTATTTTAACTGATTGTCAGCCGCCCTGAGTCCGCGAGGAGAAGGGCGGGATATAAATCCAAATATAAATAAATAAATAAAAAATATGATAATTACTTTTTCAATGTAAAAGTATAATTTAGACAAGAATTTACTACTTGGATTTACTCTGAAATAGTTTAGAAATCTTTTTTTGGCACTCCATATGTGCGCATATACAGTATATGTTTGTGCATACACCTTTTATGCCTTGTGAGGCTTACAGAAAAGAAGATCCATGGACATTTGAGATTAAAAAAAACCCAGAAACATAAAAGCCACATCCAAATCAGGCATGGAATTATTCTGCTGGTGCTCTCTCTCCATTTATTAACTACAAGAAAATATTTCATTTGTAAACAATGCTTTAAAAATAGTTCAATTTTAGAATAAAAAAAATAGAGGGGGACATTTCCTGCCCTGAATTTTTAGTTTAGTTTTTTTTTCCTGAGCCTTTAAATCTCGGTTACTCTACATCTAACTACCTACCATTAATTATGGTAGTTATCGTTGTACTTATACTGTGTATATCTCATTTTTCTTAATTGTTTATGCTTTTCCTGTCAAATCATAGATTTATGGCCACTTTGTGCATCTGATTATATGGAACTACACTACTGCACTACACTAACAAGACGCTGAAATGTTAATAATGTAAATCTTTTTCTTACATAGCTATTAATCCTTCTCCATAAGAAAAGCTTTTGTATCATTCCATTATACTTATGATTGGATGCTAACACTTCGGAAAGCCTTAAAGTTATCTCTATGCCATACTTTCGGAATGATAATAGCAAAGGCACAAATAGAAAATATATAATGGAAAATATAATTTGGTAGATGGTATAATGAAGCCCAAAGGTGTTCCAGGAACTCTTGGTTTCATTGTTCTCATTAGTTATATTTAGTCATGCTTCCGTTCTAACACAGGATTTTATATAGCAGCTTTTTGCCTGATAATATCAAATTGACTCATGGTTATTTTTTACTAGTGAACGAAATGGCATATTTTGGATGCATCAGATAAACATATAAAAAAGAGAAGCATATTTACTTATCATGTTTAATCTTATCATTTTTTTTTAAATACAACAATAAGAAAGCTTTCCTTTTTTAGAGAATGAAAAAGAGAAGTCATTATTTTATTTTTTGATTTCATAAGTTGCTTCTTTTCATTTAGGCCAATGCTTCCCCAATGTAGGTAAATTACTCCAATTGGGTAACAGTGGTTTTATAAATGTATTACCCATTACAAGAGTGACATTTAAATTGACTTAAAAATTGCCATGTGTACTAAAATATAATTGAAAATCTCTAACAGCATTCCTGTTAAGATGAAAAATGATGAAATTACCAGTGGCAATTTGTTGAAATGACATAAAAATCGTTCATTTTTTTATAATACCAGTAGTCCTTGAATTACCACCATTTGTTTAGCAACCAAAGTTATAACAGTGCTTAAGGAAGGAACTTACAACTAGTGCTTGAAGTTTGAAAATACTTTCTGATAAGCAGTTTTGGATAACAAAGGAAAAGGTTTGGGAACCATTGACTTAGGCCAGGGGTAGGCAACCTTGGCTCTTTTATGACTTGTGGACTTCAATACCCAGAATTCCTGAGCCAGCCATGCTGACTCAGGAATTCTGGGAGTTGAAGTCCACAAGTCATAAAAGAGCCAAGGTTGCCTACCCCTGACTTAGGCTGACAAAAGCCACAATACAGGGAGTCCTCAACCTATGACCACAATTGAGCGTAAAATTTCTGTTGTTAAGCAAGATAGCTGTTAAGTGAGTTTTGGTCCATTTTATGACTTTTCTTGCCACAGTTGTTAAGTGAATCATCACAGATGTTAAATTAGTAACATGGTTGTTAAAGTGAATTTGGCTTCCCTATTGACTTTCCTTGTCAGAAGATCCCAAAAGGTGATCACATGACCCAGGGACACTGCAACCATCATAAATACATGCCAGTTGCCAAGTATCCAAATTTTGATCATGTGATCAGGGGGGTTGCTGCAATGGTCATAAGTGTGAAAAACGGTCATAAGTCACTCTTTTCAGTGCCATTCTAACTTTGAAAGGTCACTAAACAAATGGTTGTAAGTCAAGGATTACCTATACTAGATTTTAAAGTAGCTTTAATTTAAAGGTAGAATTCAACTTATTTTATATTACAAACTAATCCTCTCTCACAAGGCAAGTATAAAACATCTCCATCAGTTCTTCTGACCAATTTCTTTTTCAATTGGAGTTCATCTCCTTCCATATCATTGAGACAACTTTTAGTTCTTGCAAAGGATAGAAAAACAAGGATAGATTTCTCTGGGGTGACCTCAGAAATTCCCATGTGGAAACCTCTTGTTTTAAGGAAATGTGTGGGGTGGAATTTCTGACCCATGACTGTTTTAATGCCACAGTAACCACCTCAATGAAAGACTGCAGAAGAATCTGGCTATTGATCTACCAGGTGGTCTTCTCCAAACCTAATCACAGACATGGCAGTTCCTTATTTTTCAGGGTTCCAAACTGAAGGATAAAAGAATACAGCACTCTGCCATATGATAATATAATGGTCATGATTCTACACTCCAAAGTCTATTACTCTGCATGGATCAACAGATGTACGATATAGAATTTGTAAGTTCTAGGATGTTATACGCCATCTAGTTCAGACATGTCAAACTCGCAACGTCATGTGACGTCGCGTGATATATCGAAACTTTTTCCCATTGCTGGCGGTTTCCTCATGATGCATCCGGCCCACGAGCCAGCAGTTTGACACCCCTGATCTAGTTCAACCCTCCATTCTATGCAGAAATCTAAAAGTAAGTCATAAGAAATGTAAGTCATCCAGTCCTGCTTGAAAGCCTCCAACAAGGGACATTCCATCACTGTTCCAGTCTGGGCAACAGTTTAACAACTCTTACTGTCATGGAATTCGTTCTAGGATTCAGCCTAAATCCCCTTTTCTTTAAATTTCAATCCAAGGATTCTTGTCCTGCTCTCAGTTTTAACAGAAAATAGATCTGCCCATAACAGTCTTTTCAATATTTGTTTGCAATCCTATTTTCTTGCTCTTTTCTACTAAGTTTTGATTTCCAGACCCTTTTCATCAGCTCTTCTCTGAACCTAATTCAGCTTCTCCACATCCATTTTAAAAGAGGGATATTCAAAATAGTTCCCCTAAAGTAGTCTAATCGCTGGGTGACTTTGGGCCAGTCACTTTCTTAGTCCATCCCATATTACAAGGAGTTGTTGTGGGGAAAATAGGTGGAGGGAGCAATATTTACAGGAAGTCCTCAACTTTTTGACCACAGTTGGGACCAGAATTTCTGTTTCTAAGCAAGGCAGTTGTTTGTTAAGTGAGTCACAACCATTTTATGACCTTTTTGCCACAGTTGTTAAGTGAATCACACAGTCATTAAGCAAATACTGCTTTGACCATTGACTTTGCTTGTTGGAAGCCATCTAGGAAGGTTACAAATGGTGACCACATGATTCTGGGAACTGTTGTAAATACTAGCTGGTTGCGAAGTGCCCAAATTTTGATCATGTGACCATGAAGATGCTGTGATGGTCTTAAGCATGAGGACTGACCATAAGTCACTTTTTTCAGTACTGTTGTAACTTTGAATATTGGTAAACGAACGGTTGTAAATTTGTGTGAGGCCCCGAGCACCCGCCTGGTAGTGGACACAGCCCACAGGTTTATTGCACAAGGACAGAACAAATTAATTTGAATGATAAACACTTTGTTATTCATTTTGTTTATAGGTCTGCTTTATTTTAAATATGGACAAGCAGTAGCAGATTAAAAAGACAAAATAAAATAAAACCAAATATATGCAAAGTCTTGCCTGCCAATAATGAATAGATTATATTTGAGTTTAAATATAGATTATTCGCCCTACCCTAGACCATACATGAGAGAATACAGAGCTATTCAATTTTAGCAACCCAGGTATGCATGTCTAATTGCCAGCTAAAACATACTTGCAACTTGGGTTTTATCAGGTATTATATAAGAACTGTCCAAAAATCAGATCCTAGGTTTCCAAAATTTAAATAGAGATATTTTTTTGCAGCCAATATCTTCATATTCATCCCATCCACCCAAATAAGCTCTTTGTACGTATATTAATGATTTGTTAAAGAACAGCCAAATATTATTTGGGTTAGTTTGAAATAGAAATATTTTGGGCATATGACATTACTCACTGATCCAGTGCTCTATAGTAAATATCAAGATCCTTGTTTGCCAGTTCTGTGGTCCTCATAACTATCATCATTTCTCTATATTTCTCTTCAGCATCTTTGAACTGTTGTTCTTTCAGCTCTCTCTTATATCTTAGGATCTCCTCCTCAAATCCATGCTGCCGACCAAGTGCCAAACTATGGCTTCTTTTCAAATCCTCTATCTTTTCTTCTAAATGTTTTTGATTTCTAAGTAAAAAAAAAAAAGATAAACATACAATTTTATTATTAGTTTTACATGGCACAGAAAATTATGAGCAAAAAGTATTGGCAACTTGATTACGAAAAAAGAGTACATGAGAAATTAGGTCAATATGGAAGTAATCTTCAACAGAAAGAAGCAAGAATCTCCATTTTAAAGGAAGTATAATACAATGGAAAACAAACGGTGAAAGTATAAAACAGGATTAAGAAATGGCATTTTTACAGTCGTGTGTATTAATAATGTAAAGCCTGAAACATGAAAACATCTAATTAATGGTTGTGAAGTGCATTCAAATCTCTGAAACCAAATATTTTGGTTTGTAGAAGGAGACTAAATAAAACAGATACAAAGAAAGTCACCAGCTTCATTGCTGAGCTGATATCCAACCAGATTCAACTATGGATGATAATAATGAATGCTTACATCTTTAACACTTTTTCATATCATAAGGAAAATGTGGTTTCCTATAATATCTAAAAGCCATAGTTACCATTAATCCTGATCTGTGTTTTAATCACTATTTCATTCCCCAGTTTAAAGACAAAATAGTAGCATACAGGTAGTCCTCGACATACAACTGTAATGGAGTTTGCTAATTATAGTCACAATTTGTGATGGGCATTAGGCGAGATAACCCTCAACCTCGCTTAATAACCCTCAACCCTGCTCTCCCTGAAGCAGTCATTAAATGGTGCCTCAGGGATAGGGGAGGCCCTGGGAGGTTCGCCACCCAACCAGGTCTAAAAAGCAGACAGACAAACAGCAAAAAGGCTTTGCAAAGCCAAAAATCAACCTAGCAGGGTGGAAGAGTCCAGTTACGATTAAGGCCTGAGCGACACATTCCAATGCTGTATAGGCTTCCAAACAAGCCTACATGCATGGCTGTGAGAAGCTCTGATGCTCTGAAACACCAGGGTGGAAGCTTAGTGATCTATCCTCAGGTAGCCACGCTTGTGGGCTAGGCCTCTGGCCCGATCAGCTGGCTGTCAGGAGACTGCAGGCCTCTCCTAGCTCTTACCAGGCTTTAGGGAAGCAAGCCCCCTTCTTTTAGGAACGTTAATATACGGCCGTTCAATCTCTGCTGAAACATTATTTCTGAGGCAGCATTTCGCAGTTGAAACAGCTTATAACAATTTATATATCAGGATGTCCTTAGCATTAGTTTCAAATCCTTTACTCTAACCTGAACCTGTTCGCTTGAGCCATGCCCTGTCACGCAACAGAAAATAATTTTGCTACATTATATTTCAAGGATTACAATAGCTGTCCTACATGAGTTTAGCTACTCCATGCATCTGATGAAATGAACTGTAGCTCATGAAAACTTATGCCTTTTCATAAAAATAGTCAGAAAAGGTGCCGCCAGACTCCTCCTAATTAACAGTTGTCTTATAACTGCAAACTTACAGCTATGGGCATGAAGTGGAAATTACAGCTGATCTATGCCTGGTCATGGTAACAAATCAATAGAGATGTCAACATTAGAGGCAGTGCGCCTTGTGATACCAGATGTTGAGCATAAACAATACACTGAAGCGCTATTTAGGGTTATCAGAAGCCACGGTCTATTGCTCATGCTACAATTGTTAAGAGGAGAGAATCATCTAATCAAAACAGTAGGTTTACCTCTATCACTAGGCAGACACTACAAAAATATTTGTGACCACAAAAGAAAAAAAATGCAAATACTTGAGGTCTAATGCCTTTGATTTAAGAAATGATTTTTCTTTATAAAGAAAGATATACCTTTTCAGTTGTGGTACCTGCATTTCCCCCATTTCCTTCAAAAGCTGTTTTATGTTATCTTCAACTTCTTTTAGATCTTCATTTCTTTTTCTTAAAGTAAGATTATCTTCTAACCATCGCTCCTGAATCTAAATGCAAATAAAATTGAATAATGAATTATTCTACGCTATTTTATCCCATTACAATCAGAAGAACATATGGATTTTGTTAACAAGAGCTGTTATCAGATGTTCTTCACAATTGCAACATCACGATCCCTAAAAATGACATATGAATTTTAATTTCACGAATTTCATGACTTGCCCAAGGAAAGTGGGACACATTTTGCATGAACAAACCTAATTAGCTTTAAAAAAAGGTGTGCCCGTTCACAGTTTGAGAATCAAAGATATTCAGTGTTCAAAAATACTCTTATGCTTTAACTTTAATCTTTTAGGTGCATATGTTATTTTAGAGAGCTAGTTTGGTGAACAGGTGATCCACACTTAATGATCGGTTGCTTAACACCAGTTTGAAATTATGATGGTCTTGGAAAGAATGGTTTATGTCCTGTAAAGAAGGGGTCCCCTGCCCCCAGTCCGTGGACCAGCACCAGGCCACAGCATGCCAGAAACCAGTCCGTGCAAACAAGCAAAGCCCCATCCGTGGGATGCAGGCAGTACATGAAACCACGTCTCTTCCGGTCCCTCTCTCCATGGAACCGGTCCCTGGGTGCTCAAAAGATTGGGGACCTCTGCTGTAAAGGACTTCTGACTGTCACAAAATGTCGCACACCCTCCCTTGGTCACATGATTGCAATCTGGCTGTTCACACCTATGACCAGTTGCCAAGTGCCCCATATTCATGTGATCACAACTTGCAGTGTTCTCTGCCAACCTCCCCAGAAAGTCAATGGAGAAGCCAGCAGAGAAGGCTGCAAACTGTTACCATCTGCCAAGAGGATTCCCTTTCATCTCTGGGGTCTGGATGAAAGAGGTCCCTGCCACAGCTGAAATTCAAGCATGCACGGAGACCCAAATCCCTCTTTCACCATCCCTGCAGAGAACCCCACAGAGGCACGGAGAAAAGGACACCCAATTCTGGGCCAGCCTGAACCTTGGGAACTGAAATTCAAGCATGCGCGGAGCCTCAAATCCCTCCCTGCCTGCCTCTGAAGAGTTCTCCCAACTCTATGCCTGCTTGAACCTTACAAGCCAAAATCCGATCATGCACAGAGGCCAAATTCCTCCACAGTCACATGGGCATTTTTCTCAAGAACTGCTTTGCTCAATGACCTAGACTCCAGTGCCAACTGTAGTCTTTAACTGAAGATTACCTGCAATGGTTAAGGTATCAGGTGGGAGTCTATGAATTCTAGTCCCACCTTAGGCTAGTTCAGGTAGTAATCAAAAGTCAGCACTGACTCGAAGGCAATAAGTTATTTTAACTAACATCAGAACCAATCCTTATTTTCAGATGATATCTCATTGTGCAAAAAGAATCATGTCTAGAATAGAAAATTATAGGTAGAATCAAATTGTGCATTAAATCAGCAAAAATGACTTCCACCGCAGAATAAGTCCTTCAGTTTTCCATAGAGACTTTGAGGCATATAAGGTAGCAGACAGATAAGCAAGTCCCACTGTACAAGTAGATGTTGGCCTAGGTCTTCATTCAAGGATATTTATTCAAACAGTATAAATCATTTTAAAATTTCATAACACTGTACTTAGGTTTTACAAAAGCAATAGATTTCATTAATGACCCTGATCTTTCAAATGGAAGAGATTTTTTTATTTCAGAAGAAAGATTTCAAGGGAATATAACTGAACCTTTATGAAATTAGTTTTGGGAAACTCGAAACTAATTCATCAGATGAAAAAAGTGCTAGGATTATATAATTTGTGTGGAGAATAAAGCAAATTCCAAAGGAGAGAACTAGTGTCCTAATGATTGCTGTTCAATAAATGGAATATAGTTTATTTTCTGAAATAACACAATAGCATACATTCTTACAAATTGAGAAAACATTTATATTTATATCAGTTTTCTATCTTCACTCATTGTTTCCTGAAGCTGCTTTGTTTTGAAACAGCATTCATTACTAATGTTTCCATCAACATTTGTAGAGAGATTCAAATGCTCATCTAATATTTTTGGTGACTCCCCTGTTGTAACAGCCTGTTATCTATCACATTTATATCTATTGCCCTCTCATACTAACCACCAGAATATTTTGATTGCCAATTTATATCAGGATAACATACATGGAAATGTAAGCACAAAATATAAGCCAACAGTTCTTGATAGAGCAGGATTGCCAAGTGGTATTATTCATACTCTTTCTGCTTTGGGTTATTGTATTTGGCTACTTGAGATTACTAGTAAATTGCACTCCCATATTAGAAGCTACATTTCAGTTACTTCTTAAGTACCAGAGGATTTTATTGCAATCACTGCACAATTACTTTATAAAGTCTCAAGTTAAATCACTGTCATTTGTTTTATTAAGTCAAATAATAACAGCAAATATGATACAAGTAGAATCTAAGATATCACAGTATTTCTTGTCTATTAAGATTTCAGATTAAAGTATGACAAAAATTTGGAGGACATATTATACACAATCTATATTGTTTTATTACTAGATTAATGGAGAAGATAAAGGTACCTTTTGAGTATCGATATCTTGCCTAATTGTTCCCATTTCTTTATTTATCTTCTCTGTCTTTTTCTCACAATCTACTAGCTGAACTGTGACTTTTTCCAGTTGAGATTCCTTTTGCTGGAAAAGAAAAAAAAAACATTTTAGTGTTCAAAGTTTCATGTAAAATCTTCGGAAGAAACTTTCTGAAAATTATTATTATTGATTAGCTTTTTGCTAATTACCTGCTTGTATTCTTCTTTCCCTTCTTGGATATAATTCTCAATCTCTTTCATGTGGTTATGGATATTTTTAACTTTTTCTTTAATGTCATTAATCTGTTAAATGCATAAGAAGTATGCTTGATTGTAAGAAATATATTAATCAACAGCCAACATTATTCAAGTAATATATATTTCAAAACACTGTAGGTTCTAACTGCACCTTACCTTAATTAGACCAGAATATTTTGAAGAGAAGCAATATGGAATTTGTAACATGTCGCCCAGATTGAAAGAAATAAAATGTTTGTCAACTTTAAAATGAGCATGGCTGCAGCCATTTTTTCCTTCTCATTCCTAGTTGCCACATAGCGCAGAGGGAGGGGGGTTTGCCAGACAAAACAGACTTTGTGCTAGACAAAACAGACTTTCTCTCTTCAGCTTTCTTTCATGGGAACTAAGGTCATCGGCTGCTCCCAAGACTGCAGGCTGGGTGTTTAATGAAAACCCGCCAACAAGCTGAGTGGGGAAATGTAGTTGCTTGCATAGCTTTGGGGGTGGGATTTCTTAACTTTGTATTGGGGGATTGTTATGCATCTCTTCAGACTTGGTTTCACTTTTGAAGTACCGATACTCTGTATCAATAAACATGTTCTTTGAGGAATTTGCAAGCCTCGGAGTTCTGCTTTATTTGTCTCTGTCGATCGGAACCATGACATTATTTTTATATATAGGTCAATTGTGATTTCTGCAAAGTTTACTGTGAAGATCCACAGGTGTCTGATTGTTATTTTCCATTCTCCTCTCTGCCCTTTGATACTGTTTGATAAATGGAGGGGGAAAAGTTTTATAACATGCTTTAGGGAAGTACCATTTCAAGTGTAGATACCCCACAACTTTATAGCTCTAGAACTGGCAACTTATTCTTAACTCCTTTTCTAATAATCCTTAACGCAGATGTTTCCTGCTCCACAGCTACTATGCAGTAGACTAAAGCTAAGCAAATCTTTTGAAAGGACATTTTGCATTTAGTAACAAGGAAACACCTTTCTTCAAATGGTTAAGGCAGGTGCTTCTTTACTTCAGTTCTAATATGTATTTGAAGGATTCCATTTCTCACCACTCTTTCATTGTAGGAACTGTGTAATGATTCTTGTAGTCTGCTTTCATTTCCTTCAGAGGTTGAGAGTCTAGGGCAGGGGTCCCCAACGTGAACCGGCGGGGGAGAAGGTTCCGTGTAAGTGGCCAGCAAGCGCGTACGTGTGCACACAGCTCCATTTGTACAAGCAAAGTGCACACATGCCTGCCGCTCACACAAATGGAGCATGCGCATGAGCTTGTGTGCTGCTTGCACAAGTGAGGATGTGCGTGCACACATGCGCGTTCACCGACTGTTTTTGTGGCCTGGTTGCAATCCCCTCAAGGCCCACCAGTGGGGGGGACCCCTGGTCTAGGGTACTTCTACATGGCAGTTGCTATATGTTGGAGCCCAAATCCTTTATAACCCGGTTTGAAACTAATCTCTGAACACCTTCACTTTTGATAGCTTCAAGCAGCTAAGTACAGAACCAAATAATTCTGTACAGATACAAGACATTATACTGGGGTCAGTCTTCCTCTTTTGAAGGCAATATGCATTTTTTAAGCCTCTTATTATTTGTGATGCTGCAAGAACAAGATAGCAATTTTGCAACCATGCATTTTCACAATAGGTCTAATCAAGACTGTAGTTATCAGTATAAAGTCTTTATGTGTATGAAGAACGGAGAGAATGTAATAGCTTACTTCGCACCAGAGGCTGTGTTTGGAGTAGATTGCTTCTATAAAGGAAACTTAAGACATGCATTTAAAAAATTGTGAAAATGATGAGAAAGAGATCTGAGTTTTAGTTTAACTGTAGGAAATATTGTTGGGACTGATCTGAGTGGCTGTCATGTTCAAAAACAATGAGACAAATATAACCAAACCCAAAAAATAACCAATAGCCAAGAATAAATTTCCTATAAGAATATATAAACCAACTCAGGCCCAGTAGCTAACCTTCTCTTGTGTTATTTTGTAACTTGTATTCTTTTTGTCCAACAATTCTTCTTTTTCTCGTTGTAGTTTTTCCAAAGTTGTTTCCAAAGGAAATAACTGTTCCTTTGCTTCCTGAAAAGAAAAAAAAGCACATAACTATGTCCTTTTTGTTTTAGAAATTTGCTTTTTACCATTACAGACACATGTAAAAATCTTATGATTATTTGACCAAATATATAAATTGAACAAAATTGAAACAAGGGAGGAATAGCAATGATAGTCCCAATATTCATTAGTTTTTTTACCTTGATCTCTCTGTTTAAAGATTGCACTTCGGTTGTTAATTCTACAGTCTGTTCTTCAAGTTGCTGTCGACGCTGCATGCAACTGGAAATCTGAAGTTTCTCAGCTTTGAGTTCATTTACTGTGCATTTTAAATGCTGGACTTGATTTTGTTGGTCTTGCTTAAGTGTCTGCTTCAGTTCAATTTTGCTTGTAACTGCAAGCAAAATGAAAGGAATTCACTTTTTAATAAACTAGGAAAGAATACAATTAATTGGATGAAATTTAGTCTAAAGTCAGATAAGTAAGTTTGAATGGTCTTTAAACAGGGCAGTTGTTAAGCAAGGTCTACCAGCACTGTATTTCTATTGCTAGCTCTCATAGGAAACTTCAGTTATAAAAACTATAGGCTGGTAAAATCTGATTAGCAACTATCATATTTATTCTGATGATATTGTGTGGGATTGTTTGGACAAAGAGATACCTTAAGATTAAATTTAAGCTGTAGTTATTGCAATTAATTGAGACAAGAGGAATTTTAATTACCTAAATTCATTATAATGTATATATCAAAAATTATTTAACATCCTGATTCAAATTTTTTTTATAGCTGTGTATGAAATTGTTCTTGTAAGTTTTAAAAATTAGAAAAAAACTCCTGGAAATAAAAAAAAATAGAGGCCTGTAAGAGAAGTTTCCAATATTTGAGTTAAGAAAAATTTGTTAATATTACTTTTTATTAGTGAAAGTAAGGATAAATTTTAATTTTAGCTGTGCACTTGTAGCTATAAGTAGTTTCTTCTTAGATTTATATCCTGCCTTTTGTTGGGGAGCGCAAGATGACACAAATATCTCTCCCTCCTCACATTTTTAATTTAATGCCAGCAACTCTTAAAACGAACAATTGTTTCTTCTGAATATTTCAAACCATGAGATGGGCAGAATTTAATTAAATACATAAATAAATACATAAATAAATAAATAAATAAATAACTTCTTTGGAGGGAAATGATTCCATGTTTCCATTAATTTTGAAAATGCGATTTGAAGGATTTTGCATAGGAAGGACACAGTTAAGAAACACAGTTTTAGTTATGAAAATATGATTGCTCCTTGTATGTCATCACCTGTATCCCACTGATGTTTTTTTTCCTGTTTCTCTTGGCTCACTTGTAAAAGAGTCCGGCCCAAATCCACTCCCTGGAGCCTAGCAGCCTGCTGAGCAATTTTTCTTTCAACATCCTTTAGATCAATCTGAAAAAAAACAGAAAGAAAACACTGAGAATCTTGACGTGCTTAACGTAGGTCGTCCTCAATGTGCAACTATTTGTTCAGCGATCATTTGAAGCTATGATGGTGCTCAATGAATATTAGGTTTTGACTGGTTGTCAAGAGTTCTGGCCGTCCCACCACCCCATGGTCACATGATCCTAATCTGGGTACCTGGCAACCGGCTTGCACTTACAACTGGTCACAGCCCCCCTCGATCACTTCCAGAAATTCAATGGGGAAGCCGGCAGGGAAGGATTGAAAGTCCTGGGCAAAGTCTCCCCCACCTGTGCATCCTATCCCACCCCCTCTGCACTTTGCTGCTCCACTTGCACACCCACCCAGAGTTATACCATACCTTCTTTTCACCCTCATACCACTCCCCCATATCCCTGAATCCCGCTGTGCCTTTACTACCCATGCACCCTTGCACACCCACACTGAGCCTTGCTATGTTTCTCACACTCTCACTGTGCCTCTCACACCTCATGCACCCTCCCCAACTTTCATCATGCCTCCCTAACCCATCATGCCCTCCCCCACCAGGCAGCAGTCACTTAACTGCCTGTGGGCCTGCTTGGGGTTTGCAAATGCCTGTTGACTTCCCCACTGACTTAGTTGTGGGAAGTTAGCAGGAAATTGCCTCAGCTAATGACTATAAGATTCAGTTAATGACAGCAACCAGGACTGCAGCGACTGCTGTCACTAAGCAAAGAAATTGCACTTTATGACCGCATCACTTAGCAAGGTAAATTGTGCATCTTAAGTCAAGGACTGGCTTTTAATATATTTGAGGCTCCAGAATATCTATTGCAGATAAACATGGCACATTTATACAGATGTTGCCTGCAACCTCAATTCAAGGATTCCTTCCTATTATGTGACCAATTGGGGGGAAAAAAAGCTAAACGAACAGACATTCTTTTCCAACAGACTTTGCCGCTTCACGTGTGAAGTGTGATAAAGGAATGTTTTTGTGTGCAAATCTGGTAAGAAGTATCCTTACCTGATCCCTTTCCAAAAGTATAATATCCTGCAGACATGCTTTTGCACTTTCTTCCTCTGTTATGATAGTACCCAAGAGGGTTTCCTGTTCTTCTATATCAGCTTTAAGGCGCTGAATCTCTCTATTAAGAATCTGTAGCTTGTTTCTCAACTCAGGTATATCTTTTTCGTGGAGTTCAGATACTGTTTGTCTTTGTGAGAAACAGAAAATAAAAATGCATGATGTTTTCTTCTCTGTTAATAGTCATAAAGTCAACTTAGTACAACTATACTTGGATTCTAACTTGAATGCTTACAATTACGTTTGTTTGGATTGTGAAGTCCTAAATCTTTCTTCCCCTTAAGTGGAATTCCTCATGGCATATTCCTCTGGAGAAAAAGGGATGGGAAGGAGGAATGTGTCTACTGTTTTCTCCTGAGCCAACCCTGCCCTCCAAATATTTAGGGATCCTTCACAACCGCATGGCCACCGAGGCTGTTGAGATGGGCAACTCATTATTTAAGCCACTGTATTATTTTATGATGGAAGTGATAGAGCAGTGATGGCGAACCTTTTAGAGACCGAGTGCCCAAACTGCAACCCAAAACCCACTTATTTATCGCTGGGTGCCAGGTGGGTGTGGCCCACTGGATGGGCGTGGCTGTGGTGGTCATGGCAGATTGGGTGGGTGTGGCCAAGATGGGCGTGATCACCTCAATGTTGCTCGTGGGGAGGGACGCCTGTGGGGGCCGGGCAGGGTTGGGGGAGATCCAGGGGGTCTTTGGCAGGTGGGGCGGTGGGCAGGAGGCTCATCCTGCAGGGCGAGGCGAGGCAAGGCGAGACAGGGCGGAGGTGCCATTGTCACAGGGCAAGATGAGGCAGGGGCCGGGGCGGCTGCTGCCTTGACACCATTGGCCCCTGCACACAGAGGCCAGTGAGCACATAGGTGCTGGGATGCATCCAGCCATGTGGGACCTTGGAGAGTTAGTGGGCAGCTGGTTGAAGAGGGACAGTTGCCATCTCCGGGGCATGGCGAGCGTGCCCACAGAGAGGGCTCTGAGTGCCACCTCTGGCACGCGTGCCATAGGTTCGCCACCACTGTGATAGAGGATGTTAGTGCCTCATAAGCCAGGAAACCCCTTTAACATGCACATATCAAAACACTGCCTTTCCTGAAAACTTCATTCACTTCTCACAACATAGAACATTGTGCTTCCTGCCTCACCTGATAGGTTTTAGAGAAATCATATCATCACGTTTCTTCTCTCTTTTCTTCAATTCAGATTCTGTTGCCTTCAGTTTGTCTGGAGCAAGGCGCAATTTGGCTTGAAGATCATTTATGACATCTTGCAGTTCTGCCTCTTTTTCAAAGACCCTCTGACACACCGGGCAACATGACTGGCTTTCGTCTGTTAGTTGGGTGATGAACTGTGAATAAACTGCTGTGGCTCCTGCAAGCATAGCTGTATTGAAAAACAAATGATTTTATAAGACAGAGGGAAGACTGATTTTTTATCAATTATCATTTTTTCAAATTCCTTTTGGTAAAGAGGATTAGCCTTTCTTATTAACGGATGACTGGAGTCAAGAACTTGTACCTACTTACCAAAAAACCTCCAAAGCAATTTATTATCAAAGCAAAGATGAACAGCAAAGTTAAATCAGTTAAACCAATAAAAACACAGGCTGAAAGCCAGAATATTTCTTAAATCCAAGATTTGCATCAAGAGTGGCAATTTCTTTCCAATTGAACATTTCAGATAGCCTTTGGTTAGCAAGGGTAACTGGAATCAGAATTTCCATCGTTAACAAATGCAGTTGTAAAGTGCAATGTCACATGACCGCATTACTTAGTGATGGCAGGCACTGTGAGGATTGTGGGCTATTAAGTACCTCCTTGCAACCTTCTCTTGGCTTCCCACAAGGCAAATTAATAGGAAAGTAGCTAAAGTTAGTAATAACTAACTGTCTACTGGTACCCACATCGGTTTCCTCGCAGAAGATTTAAATCCAGTTATACAATTAAAACTGAAAAAGTTAAATCCTCTCCCCACCTTTATGAGAGCTTACATTTAAGAAATGACAATCTGAGTGCCTGTCCACCTGACAAAAAATTAGTTACTAGTAAATCTATTTAAAATAACAGGCAGTAATTAACGCAGCGATCCCTGTTAAAATAATAGTGGAACCTCCATGCTAAGTTTCTGTCAAGATTTTCATACCGTAATTTAACAAGATTGTTGGATGACTTGCACACGTTGTTGGATCTTTGCTCAACTTCAGTGTTATTGTTCAGTATAAACTTCCTAAACTAAGGAGGGAAACATCATACTTTTGCCTATTTTTATCTATTCTGATATCCAGCTCTACTATGAATGCAGCTCCTGATATTGTTTTAAAGCAGGGGTCTTCAAACTTGGCCCTTTTATGACTTGTGGACTTCAACTCCCAGAATTCCTCAGCCAGCATGCCTGGCTGAGGAATTCTGGGAGTTGAAATCCACAAGTCATAAAAGGGCCAAGTTTGAAGACCCCTGTTTTAAAGCTTACAAGTTACTGGTATAAACAAGTATATAAGGGGGGGAATGGGGTTTTTTTTTGTATCCTATTGAAGTAGGAAGGAGTTATATAGACTTGCCTCGCTGCTTGGATGTTTTTTCAATATCATGCTGCAGTTTATTAAGATCACTTTCAAAATCTTGACTTCCACAGACATCAAAAAGCTTTTCTTCATATGTGGACAGCTGTTCCTCCTTTTTCCTTAGTTCGGTGGTAATGTGACTTTTGTTTTGTTCTGCTGAAACAAGTTCTTTGCTGAAACATAAGTATTATAATCAGAACTGAGGGTTTTTTTTAAAAAAACAAATGGTTGAAGTGATTTGATTTTCTAGTTCTATTTAAAAATGTTCACTGGGTGGGCATCTGACTACCAAATGATGTTCATCAGTTCAAAGCAATTCTATCTATCTTTTTGTTACTTAGATTGCTCTGGCAGATATGCATGGCTTTCACACTGGCTTAGTTCAGACAATATTAGAATCCACCATCTGTAGGACTGTATTATAGGCTTGTGTATTTGTTTCTCTATTTCAGCACATCAGTAACTTCCTTCATTTCCAGGATACCTCGGCCATAATTTTCCATTTTGTATGAATCAAGAAATACAGTTAGCTTGTAAATTGAGTTCTTATCTTAGTTTGGGGTTTAACCGTAATCATTAATTTGCCCAATAAGAATATCATCAAAAACTAACCAAAAGGATCATATTTTTTTTTTTAAAAAAACAAGCTTTTTACGCTTTTACTTCAATGAGTTTATAATCTGAAAGGAATAGATGCTTTTGTTTAAAAGAAAATGCTCAGAAGAAATTATTTAAATTATTTGCAGGTCGAATAGCGTAAGTAAACATTTAAAACTATTGGACAAAGAATAACCCTCTCAGCCACATATGTACATGCAAAAATTTACTTGATAAACCCAATGGGCACAATCACTCAGTAACCCAAACAGTGAATCATTGGGTTTGCCACATTCTACAGGTCTACCACAGCTGCCACACCACACCTCCATGTCTGATTCTTCTACTTCCCTCTACCCTGAATCTGTCTCGTCTATTTCCTTCATCAAAGTTCTGTTATAATTTAAAGTTTAAACAACCACATGCTAGGCTCTCTTAAGAACTGCTTTCACCCAAACAAATTTCTTTAACTCTCAGATCTACTATAAAGACCACTTACCTATTTCCCCCCTCCCCATCTCTCTGTTGGACTTTGTGGCAAAGCATAGACTAAGGAGTTTTTTGTTAGATTTTTCTAATGTTACCCATATGCTGGTCATTTCTAGTTTAATTTAATTAAATACATTCTCTCTGATGGTACCATGATAATGAATGCTCTGACTCAAGCCATTTAACTTGGTCTCATTACTGCTTAAGTTTCTTTTTTTTAAACAATAGTTTATTAAAGATTTACAAAAATTAAAAAAAAAACAATACAAACTAAAAGAAAAAAAAGAAAAACTGGAAAGTGCAGAAAAGAAAAACAGAGAAGAAAAAAAATAAAAAATACAGGTAGTCCGAAGTCTGGAATTTCGGTCGCTAAGCAATGCTGTCATAATGCGTAATGTCACATGACCACGTAGCTTAGCAACAGTGATACAGGCAGGCATGATTGTTTCCATAACTCCAGATGCATAGATCATTAAGTGGGAAGTGGAGAGAGTCTCAGATACAGAGTGGGAGCGGCGGTGCCACAGGAGGATGGGGGAAGCCCTGAGAGGCCCAACACAGAGGCTGAATAAAATTTGGGAAAGTGAGGAGCTCAGGAAAGCCAGGGAAAGAATATGCTGCCACCCAGTGGCTTGGTAGTGCATTGCGGCTCTTGGGTTGCAAGAAGCCCGAGTTGCAGTGCGGCGTGAAGCCATAGCTACCCCAACAGCATGGCTCAAAGGGGCCTTTTGGTATGCCGTGGCTCTGGGGCTGCAAGAAGCTCTAGAGCTGCAGCACAGTGCAAAACAGCTGCTCCAGGAAGTCCTAGCCACCCCAGGAAACCTCACTAGCGCAGGGTCTTCTTCTCCATCTTCCATTTTCCCCAGGTGTTTCAAGAATAGGCATGCTATTTATACAACAGCATGCCTGATTTGGAGAATAGAGAGAATGGCCTTTGGAGGAAGGACTAGCACTGCCAGCAGCTACCTCACATAGGGATTATCAGCAGAGGGAGAAAGGTGGTGAAGGTCCCTGGAGCACAGGGCAGTGGGAGGAACTGGGACTTTGGGCTGTGGTGGCTGGTCATGGCGTAGGGTTTGAGGCAACATGACTCAGTGGAAGCGGCAGTGCTGGGGCTGAAGTAGATGCCTGAGGGCAGTGGCAGCTGACTGACCTTGCTAAAGGCCCTAGGCTCTACTTCAACCCTGCCAAAAAGTGCTGCTGTGCAGGACAGCCAAAAGGACATAAATATTGGGGAGATAAGTTGTGCAGGAAGGGAAGATGAAGCATCCCTGCAGTTGTAAGTGTGGGCAGGCTCCATTACAGTTGTGAGTCGAGGATTACCTGTATTCAAATAATTTTGGGGCTGAGGGAATACAGTACTGTTTGCAGTCTTAGGTCCTTGTTTGAAAAGGACTGACAAAAATTTTGAAAATACTCCCCCTTTTCCATTGTACACAAGCCTTAATTTATAATGTAATTCAAAGTACATTTTTAAACATCTAATAGACTGTATGTCAACTCTCCAATGAGCATGGCTGTAGCCATTTTCTCATTCTAGGTTGCCACATAGAATGGAGGGAGGAGAGTTGCCCAGGTGCTTCGTTATTCAAAATAATCTTCTGTCCTGTGGGAGCCAAGGTCATCTACTACTCCCAAGACCAAGGACTGGACGTTGTGAAAAAAAAAGCCCACCAGATGAATATATTGGGAAATGTATAATAATAATAATAATAATAATAATAATAATAATATAATAATAATAATAATAATAATAATAATAATAGTTGGAAGGGACCTTGGAGGTCATCTAGTCCAACCCCCTGCTCAGGCAGGAAACCCTATACCATTTCAGACAAATGGCTGTCCAGTCTCTTCTTAAAAACTTCCAGTGTTGGAGCATTCACCGCTTCTGGAGGCAGGTTGTTCCACTGGTTAATTGTTGCTTACATAGTTTTGTGGGTGGGACATTATACTTTGCAATCGGGTAATTGTTACTTGTGTATTCAGACTTGGTTTCACTTTTGATCCTACTGATACTATATAACCAATAAACATGTTCTTTAAGGAATTTTCAAGCCTTGGAGTTCTGCTTTATTCATCTCTGTCTGTGGGAACCATGACACTGTATTCTGTACTAATGATAAAAAAGTGAAAGACAGATCTAATTAATGTTAATCCCCACACTTCAGTATAAAATAGAATTAATACTCACTTGAGCTTGGCAAGTTTGTCTCTTGTCTGATTAATTTCTTTAACTCTCGAGTGAAGCCAATCTTCAAGCTGATTTTTGCTTGGAAAAAATCCCAATAAGCAGATTAATTCTTCACTGTGTCTAAATTTAATTTTTCTGATTTGTTCTTCTTTGTCAGCCTTAAAAAAAGAAACAACAATACGATCACTTATAAGCAAGAAAGCATTTCTTGATCGGTAAATACAGAACTAGCTTAGACTTAATAGTAAACTATACAAAGAAAGCTTTAAAGATTTTCAATATTTGTTTGTCCTTACTTTAAAATAAACATTGTTTACTACTTAATAGATGTGGGAAATAATGTTAATCTGAGTACTCCAAATGATGGATCAAGCATTACATTTGAACTAGCTGTTGCTTTCATGCAAACGCGACATTATCTGTGCTAAATATTTCAAGCATATAGGAGTATCCAATAAAATACACTACTTTATCTTTTTTCAGCATATCCATTTGGGTTATAATTGTAGTATTCAGGTTCAGTTGTTCCATCTCTTTATCCAGTTTCCGAAGAGTACTGTCCAAATTTCCCTTTTCTTTTTGTAGTTCCTTAATTTCCATTTCTAGGGTTTCAACGTTGCAATTTTTCTCAGCTTCAGCTAATTCGTGTTTCTAAAGAGAAATAAAAGAAAGCAGATTTTCCCCCCCTCCATTTTAGGTATGCATATTCTAATGAACAGATTAGAACTGTATTCACTGAATTAATGCTAATCCTAGCAATATATACTGGATACTCTTTGTAGCCAACGAAGAAAACATCTCTATGTCATTACCACTCTCCAATGAGAAAAGCATCCGAATATAGAAATAGGTCAGTTCAGAGAAAGGGCTACATTAAGTGTGCCCTTCTCAAACTGATGTTATTTTTTTCACACATGCAGGTGAAAAAAGGTGATAGGCTCAGACTCTTGGCTATACCAAAGTAGCCTCTTGTGTTCTGTTCTGATATCTGACATTTAACTAGGTAAGAATAAATGAGGGAAAACTAGTTTTTAGAATATGGATTTAGAGAGTATTTAGAACAAACCATGGATGCGAAGAGCTATGTTTATCCTTTAGTTTTATCACATATATAGTTTCTTAACCAAGGCTTACTGCTTTTGTAAGTTCTTGATCCAGTTCCAGGAGTCGATTTGAGGATCCTTCAAGCTGATGTAATTCCTGTTTTAGATTCTTTACTTCAAGTTGTTTCTTATTTTGAATATCTGACTTTAGGACAATGGTTTTTTCAAGTCCAGTTTTTTTATCCCTTATTTCATCAATTTGTTTCTGCTTCATTGTTTCCTTCTCGCCAAATTCTTTCTGATTAAAAGATAAAATCACAGTTTATTTAAGCAAAGGTTGTAATCTAAAAAATATTTCAAAATTAGGCACGTGGGTTCCTCTGCAATTAAATGGCATCAAATTAAGTAATAATATTTAGGCAATAATGCTTGTAATTATACAGTATGTACAAATGCTCATATAATTCCCATTTCCCATGTTCTGAAAAGAATTCTGTCACTACTGACTCTATGCACAATTATTTAGGACTAAATTAAAAAAAAAACTAATCCAGACTAAAATTAAGAAATGTCCCACAATTAATGCTTTTTAATGTTAATGTTTTACTATACTGAACCTAACTAAATTTGTGATAACTTACTTATATACATATATGGCCCCAGCTAACCTATTATTTATAATCTACTTTAATGTATATACATTTACTGTTTAAAACAATGTTTCATGTTAAAAAGCCAATAAAAGCCACCAATAAGGACTGAGATAGAATCCCTCTTGTACATGCCTTTTGTCTGAAATAAGCTCTTTGTTTTTGGAGCATGGCATGTTGTAAATTAAGCCCAGGCTTCTCACCATCTAACTTTGTTGCACTGGCAGATTAACGTAGCAGGAAAGGGAAATTTGTAATTAATGTGCATATAATACATTTCTCTTTACAGGTAGTCCTCGAATTACGACCACAATTGAGCCCCAAATTTCCATTGCTCAGTGAGACATTTGTTGTGAATTTTGCTCCATTTTATGACCTTTCTTGACACATTTAAGTGAATCACTGCAATTGTTAAGTTAGTAACATGGCTGTTAAGTAAATCTGGCTTCCCCATTGACTTTGCTTGTCAGAAGGTTATAAAAGGTGGTGGTGGTGCTGGTGGTGGTGATGATGATAATAATAATAATAACAATAACAATAATAATAAAGTTGGAAAGGACCTTGGAGGTCATCTAGTCCAAGCCCGTTTGGTCAGGAAACCCTATACCATTTCAAACAAATGGCTGTCCAGTCTCTTCTTAAAAACTTCCAGTGTTGGAGCATTCACAGCTTCTGGAGGCAGGTTGTTCCATTGGTTAATTGTTCTGACTATCAGGAAATTTCTCCTTAGTTCTAGGTTGCTTCTCTCTTTGGTTAGTTTCCATCCGTTGCTTCTTGTCCTGCCTTCAGGTGCTTTGGGGAATAGCTTGACTCCCTCTTCTTTGTGGCAGCCCCTGAGATATTGGAACACTGCTATCATGTCCCCCCCTCATCCTTCTCTTCATTAGACTAGACATACCCAATTCCATGATAACATGACCCTGAGACACGGCAGGCATCATAAAAACAAGTTAGTTGCCAAGAGTCTGAATTTTGATCACTTGATCATAAGTCACTTTTTTCAATGCCGTTGTAACTTGGAAAGGTTGCTAAACGAATGTTGTAAGTTGAGGAGTACCTGTATTTTTATTCAAAAATGATGCCTGCGATATTTTGCTACCACAGAAATATATTGAAGTGAAGCCAAAAAAAAAAAAAAAAGCAAAAAAGCAAAACCCAAGACTTTGTTCTTACTGGTTATTTTTCCTTATCTCTGCCAAATATAATGCCATCCCTACTTCCTACCAGGGCTTTTTTTTGTCATAGAACGTCCAGAACGGAGTTCCGGCACCTTTTTTGGATGGAACCTTGTAGGGTAGGCAAGGCGGGTTGTATAACGTGTGAGTTCTGGCACCTTTTTCTTTTTCTTTTTCTTTTTTACAAAAAAAGCACTGCTTCCTACCATCAAGTTCACTTTTCTTCAGTTATAACCAAAAAGAAAAGGGTATACACTATCACTGACTGATGTGAATTTTCCTACAACCTACTATTTAAGTGCACTTTAAAGAAATACGCTTTTATTTACATCAGTGGTTCTCAACCTGTGGGTCAGGACCCCATTTGGGGTCGATCGACCATTTCATGGGGGTCGCCAAGCAAGGCTGTCCGCCATTTTTTTTGTCTGCCATTTTTCCCCCTTTTCTGGTGGGTGCCTTACCTCCCTTGGGCTGGGCCAGCTGGTGGTCAGCCTGCTCCGTCTCTGCCGCTTGCCAGCTACGCCTCGGCCGGCACAGGGGGCGGAACCACGCATGCGTGGCGCTCCCAGGCAGGGAAAGTCCTCGACTTACGACCGGTTGGGTAGTCCTTGACTTACGACCGGTTTAGTCCTCGACTTATGACCGGTTTAGTCCTCGACTTACGACCGGTTTAGTCCTCGACTTACAACCGGTTGGGGTCGCGGCATTAAAAAGGTTGAGAACCACTGATTTACATCCTAATCTCACTGCAACTTTGAATACAGAGATCTTTCTATTTTAGACCTTTAAAAATGTACAAATTCAAATATTTACCATTAAATTATTAGCAGTTTCTATATCTTTGTCCTGTCTCTCTTTTACCAGCCTCTGAAAACTATTGATTTGTCTCTCATTCAAAGGTGTTCTTTCAAATCCTTCCAATTCCAACTGAGCTGCCAAAGACTGAATTAACGAATCTCGGGTTCTAATATGCTGCTGGTAACGATCTGCTTGTAACTGAAGACGACCTTCGTAGAAAAGACAGAGTTTAAACATATATGTATTCAAGGTTTTACAGGACTGTTGATCAGATTAAAGAAACGGTAAATTGTTATCTACATATAAATAGAAAAAAAAACCATTAGTTGTGTAATCATCAAGTAAAATTAATTCTGTGGTGGAAAACACCATCAATTGGAAAGTCCAAATAATACCGTGTTTCCCCGAAAGTAAAGTCTACCCCAAAAATAAACCATAGCTTGATTTTGGGGGGGGGCCTAATATAAGCCCTACCCCCAAAATAAGCCTTAGTTTTGGGGTGAGGCACACACCTAAAAATCAAGCTAGAATGGGAGTGGGGTGTGTGGAGCTGCCCCATGTGCCCTGCACCCGCTTACCTTGCAGCCAGGCCTCTCCTCGCCAGCGTCTTCTGCAGCCAGGCCTGCATTTCTCAGTCACAGGCCTTTCCAGAAAGCCACTGCAGCCAAGAACCGAGCAATGGATTCAATCCATCGCTCGGTTCTGCAAGACCTCTGCAACCGAGGACCGAGCTATGGATTCAATCCACAGCTCAGTACTCGGCTACAGTGGTCTTCCAGAAAGGCCTGACTGTGAAATGCAGGCCGAAATGCAGCTGCAGAATGAAGCAACTCCTTCAGCCACAGAAGAAGTGGACCTGCTGGTGGGGCTGTCGGTGCTGGAGGTAAGACATTCCCCCAAAATAAGACCTGGTGCTTCTTTTGGAGGCAAGAAAAAAAAATAATAAGACCCAGTCTTATTTTCAGGGAAACACGGTAGTTTATTAATTCCAAAGCTATCATATTACAGTGAATTACTGGTTTGTGTACCAAACAGAAGAGTAAGAGACATAGGACAAGAGAGATCTTAAACAACAACATAGTTCAAGGTGTGTGTATATTCAAGCAGAAGATCCCAAATAAAGAAAATATAGCTTTATAACTGATAAGGAAACAGGACAGTCAAGAAAGAAGACACAAAGATCTTTCATAATGTAACCATTCGCACATTCCTTAAAATTCAACGTAACAGCTTTAATATATTAGCTATGATTGTTATTCTTAACAGACTATGTTTATAACTAGACATTTATATACTGTAGCATATTATATATATATCATATGCTACAGAATATACAGTATATGTTATATGCGGTAGCATATTTCCTCAAGTCCTCTCAAGGTGTGAACTACACAATCAATTAATCATTACAAAGCACTGATTGCCACAATAATAAACATTTCATTCTTAAAGATGTTACATGAGGAATCTATATATTATATCAGTAAGTAGAAGTAAATAAATAAATTGTTATTATCGAGTTCTTATTGCAGCTCACCATAATTGTCAGGTAAAGGAGGAGGAGGAGGAGGAGGAGGGAGGAGGAGGAGGAGGAGGCTGATTCTGAATTTTTTGTTGCAATTCCCTCATATCTCTTCTGAAAGCTTCTTATATGAATTATGAACATTCCGGAAAAAAGACTAGGATCTGTTACATGGTCACAGTGAAAATGATACAGTATTTGATGCTATTTTTTAATTTAGATATGTGTAACTTTAGCTGAGCCGAGAAGCACCCGTTGCTGAGGCCACACTCATGTTAAATATGAATGACAATTTATGTGGCCATCCTCCTTTACCAAATTATAATTTAAGTTAGTAAGTCAATTAAATTGGTGTTGGGATGGACTGTGTGCAAAAGATGTAACAGAAGAAATGACAGAGATTTGACAAATTATTTGACAAGATAAGAGATGGTATTGAAAGTGGATTTATAACTGACAGGCCAGGAGAATGACTTAGAAAAGGACATTCCACTGGATTTACAAAAGAAATTGGCTGAGGCTTTCCAATTTTAAAGGCAAACACAAATGACAAACCAAGAAAGTAATTTGAATAATTTTTTCCTACTGGATTTACAAAGAAGGCTTGTTAAAGAACTATATGAGATGGGAGGGGGAAAAATGAAAGAAATAAAATCCTACGACAATATTTGAATGAACTAAAGATTAAGACTTTTAAAAGTAAAAGGAAGGATTATAAAGTTGGCTTATTTGATCAAGGTTGAAACAAGATAGATTGTTACTTCTGGCAACCTTTTATGAACTTTCTGATGACACCAGGACTGAAAAGATTATGTTTCATGGATGTGTTCACAGACAAGAGATGGGATGAAGAGATAAATGTTTATAACTTTAGAGGAGATGAAGAATCACTAAATTTATGCTTGTTGTGATCAAGTTTGGAAGTCACTTCTTTATATATTACTTTTTTATTATACATTTTTCTTTCTTCTCTTTTTTCTTGCATTTTTACTTTCTTCTATGCTTTTTAAGTTTAGTTTTTATTAAATTTTTCTACTATAATCAATGTTTATTTATTTGTTAAACAAATTTATACAGTCATCCAACTAACACATGGTGACTATGTGTGGGTTACAAAAAATGCAAAGCATAAAACTAATATAATCCCATCTCCCACCCACTCCAAAAAGTATAATCACACCAATCATTTAATTTTCTATGTATCAGCCTCCATCTTAAGAGTCTTCTGGAAAAAGTAACAAGTTGGGGGCCAACTTTATCTCTGAGGGGATTTGTATTCATTCCAAAGAGAGAGAGAGCTATCGCTTTTTCTTTTTCAGATCCTTCCCCCCCCCCCGAATTCCCTAATAGATAGGACCCACAACATGCTCTGCCCTCCCACCCTGGTGGGTCAAGTAGATTTAACTGGGGAGAGGCAGTCCTTCAAACAACCTGGTGCCAAGCCATGTAGGGCTTTAAAGCCAGCATCTTGAATAGCACCCGGAAGCAGATCAGTAACCAATGCAGCTCCTGCAAAAATCTTAATAAAAGTTATATATAACATAAAAAAATACTTGTATCAATTTCACTATTAACGCGCACTAAAAAGTTAACAAAAAATATACCTTGTTCAACTAGTAATTCTGATTTTTCTCTGTTAAATCTTTGGCATTCTTTGTTTACTGCCTCCAGTTCTCGCTGACACTCCGTAAACCGCTTCTCCTTTTCGCTCACAGTTTTCTGATGGTTTTGATACATCCTTCTAAGTTGCTCATCACTTCCTTGAAAAACCTAACATTGCAATGTAGCAGAAAATTTCTTTTTTTAGAAATAATTTATCTTTTTCAGAGTGGGAGTCTTGCAAAGGCCAAAGACGATATGACATAAAGAAGTAGATGATTATGACTGTCTTTACTAAACTAAAAACCTAATCCACAAGGCCGCATTGTTGCCACGAAGACTGACAAATACTGCAGTGGACTGGGAAAATGTTAACCTTTTTCCTAATCTAGTTCTCATCTCACTTCTGAATGTTGCCGTACCGCTTACCGGTGGATTTGCTCACTAAAAACATTGCAATAGTAATAACATATGCAAGAGGGATGACTGATCATAAACAGAACAGCTGCTGGGAACAAAAATCTAACCTTTACCATTGGCTCAGCATAGCGTTCACATGCAGTACCACAGATGATATTACCTAGTTTGGGTAATGAAATGTCTGAAAGAAAACAACCAAGCTCAGAGAGCACCAAGGACCTCTCATTTCAACCCTGAGCTACAAATATTCTTTATTGGTAAATGCAGTTTTATGTATTCTACTTCATGCAAACATAAACAATAAAAGCAAACCTTCTCCATTTTTTGTTGCAGGTCTTGATTGTCCCTTTCCATCTGCTTTCTCCGACTTTCCAGAGCTTTGCTTTCATTATCAAGTCTCGTTACTTTTACAAGATTCTGTTCTATTTCCATCAAGGAGTTCTGAGAAAGGAATAGTAAATATTTAATGTAAAGAAGCTGCGTAACAATTAGGAGGGAGGATAAAACAACCTTGTAAACAAAGCCCTTAAAGGAATTAGCCATTTGGGCTCTAAGGAAGGGAGCAAGGAAAGCTCTCTCCCATCTTCAATCACCACATTTTTAAGGTGGGCATGGAGCTCAGGCTTGCCATCTATCTGGACATTAAGACCCAACTTTCAAATATCCAATTTTGTTGTTTTTTTTAAAAAAATATTCAACTTATTGCTCTCTTCATGCTTTTTCATGTTTCATTAATTAAGCACACCTTTAAACGAGGGTGACAATTTGGAATCAGCGACCAAGCTGAAATAAAAAGTTTTGAGTTGCCAGCTCTGAGGACACATCCATTTAATCAACGTATTACAGATAGTAAATCACCTTGAGAGGCTCCAGTTGGTTTTCAATATGTCTGACGTTTTCTTTGGAGGCAGCTAACTGAGTTTCCCTGCCAGTTAGCTGATTCTGGATCTCTTGTGCTTTTTCTTTATTCTGCTTCAAGTACTTCAGCTCCACCTGACATTCTTTCACTCGCTGCCCTTGCTTCAGGCGCACCTGACGAAGCGTTTCCAAAGCCTTAATATACCTTTTGGAAAGAAAAAACGTAGGGTGATTTTTTTTAACTAAAATTGTATCTGTAACTTCTATAGACACCTTTTATTAATTAATATTAATCTTTCTTACTCAAGAAGGCCCAAGTATAGATTACCTTGTCGCTGAAAAGATCTCATCGAATTTCTGTTTCAGGGCCTTTCCTTCACTTAGAGGCCAGTTGGAATCTTCTTGATGGCAGAAAATGACATTATTAATTACAGATTTAGAAACTCCAAGGGCAGCAATCATCTCTCGGTCGATTTCTGCGCACTTGGAGCTCAGACTGACTTTCTCCCCATGCCTGTATGAACATAGGCACAAAAATACAGCAAGTGAATGCTAAACATTATACACACAATTTTCTTATATTTTTTGTGGGGAGTTTTTTGGTCACTTCAAATCAGTATTGACAGCTGTGATTGCCTGGACAAATCCTTGCAGTTTTCTTGGTAAGATATTTGACGGTGGCTTAGAATTGCCTTTTTTTCTATGGCTGAGAAAGAGCAACTGGCTAAAGTCATCCCATTGGCTTCGTGCCTAAGGCAGGGCTAGAACTCATGGTCCCTTGTTTCATTCCATATATTTCATGACTATTTGATTTTTTATATATTATTCTTACATTTATTGTTTTCCAATATATCATATAAGGACACTACAGCTCTTTTCAATATCACAGAAGAAAAACATACATTGTTAGTTATATTATTTGCTCAATTAAATCAATGTATTAGAAAAGAACAGGAAGCATCAAATAAAATAAACATATTTAGAAAAGATTCCAATCGCAACTTGGTACAAGATTACAATTCTTTTGGGGCATGTAAAAATAGAAGGTACATCTATACTTTGTTATGAGACATACAATTACGGTATACTTCTGCACTGATATAATCCCAAGATCACATCCAATTAAAAAAAATATGATAATTCACTCACTTTATTCTTGTAATTATTCCTTCAAGAGTTTTAAATTCTGTCTTCTTTCCTTTCTGAGAACATACCATGGACCGCTGGACAGCAACAAGCTCTCCATTAACATCATGAAATTGAAGTCTTATCTGAGCTCTGACATCTGTTTCATTGGCAACCTGTCCCAATGGAAAATGCATTTAAGAATTGGTTCAGCTTATTTACAGGTCCAGGAAGACCAACGGTTTCTTCCCGTAAATCACCATATTATGAATAAACCATATTTATTCATAATAAAAGTGGAGGCAGAGATTTAAAAGTTGTTTTCTGGATATTGGACATTGATGATGGAGAGAATTTCCTCTATTTCCTCTCCAGAGTTGAGGGGCTCTTTTTGAACAGATTTGAGGGATACAAGGAGAAGCACGAGGACAAGAAACCTTAGCAGATACTTTATTGCACGAGGAGAAAATCATTAATGTCAGCTGCATGCAAGCAAATCTGAGCATGGAAAAAAAATCTTATAGAAAAAAACATCCCAAAGAAGGCTAATAATTTTTTTAAAAAATCCTAAGGAAGTTGTCATGAGAACAGAATTGTAAAGGTATGTGCACTGACAAAATTTCCATCAGTCAATTACAAAAGGACACATTGCTTGGATCTGCACATATACTATGCCAAACACCAACTAAGAACAACTGGCAGCTGTGACTTCACATTTCTGTGTCTATGGTAATATTTTGTATTTTTCCAATGGATTTATAATGCAATTTTTCTGGTGAAAAATATTTTAATCCATTGTTTACATTTATGCTTCAACATGCTCTTCAAGTAGAGACACTGCATCTCAAGGCACAACACAGAAAATAACAATTGTCATTTTTCTTGAAATAGGGAACTACAAGTTCCTCATCAACGTAACCTACACACTGCAGTTTACTAGACAAACAAACTAGCAATTGTATTACTTACTTTTGGATCATGGACAAATGAATTTCCTTTGCTGCCAGGTGGGAAGTCCCCAGTACAAATATATTTGAGGCATTCTATGATGGTCTAATGAAATGGAAACAAGCATCAGAAATATATTTAATAGCCACTAAATGACTATGCTTAGATGAGCAGATTAAAAAAGTAGACTCCCTCATTTATTATTTTCTCCAACCTTCCCATATGTCTAAGAAATGATATAAATGATTTACTCATATAATGATGCTGATGCTCTCAGAATTACAAATACAGAGCTTTGCTGATCACTTCTATTAGCAAGAATTTCCACCGACAGATTTGTACAGAATTGCAAGATGTTATGTATCTGACACAAGCTGACTTCTCGTGTATATTGTTAAACAAATGAGATAACAAAATGTTTAAAGTTAGTTCTTTCAAAGCATCCTCCTATACAGAAAGAAGTGTCTTGCTATTTTCCACAGTCATGTTCTTAAATGTAAAATACACTGTCAATGTACAAAATGGTGAAAAATGTAAGGTTCTACATTTAGGCAAGAGAAACCAAATGTACAGGTACAGTATAGGGGGTACCTTGCTCAATAGTAGCAACTGTGAGAGAGATTTCGGAGTCCTAGTGGACAATCACTTAAATATGAGCCAGCAGTGTGCTGCAGCTGCCAAAAAAGCCAACATAGTGCTAGGCTGCATTAACAGAGGGATAGAATCAAGATCACGTGAAGTATTAATACCACTTTACAATGCCTTGATAAGGCCACACTTGGAATATTGCATCCAGTTTTGGTCACCACGATGTAAAAAAGATGTTGAGACTCTAGAAAGAGTATAGAGAAGAGCAACAAAGATTAGGGGACTGGAGGCTAAAGCATATAAGGAACGGCTGCTGGAAGTAGATATGTCTAGTTTAATGAAGAGAAGGACGAGGGGGGACATGATAGCAGTGTTCCAATATCTCAGGGGCTGCCACATAGAAGAGGGTGTCAAGCTATTCTCCAAAGCACCTGAAGGCAGGACAAGAAGCAACGGATGGAAACTAATCAAGGAGAAAAGCAGCCTGGAACTAAGGAGAAACTTCCTGACAGTTAGAACAATTAACCAGTGGAACAACCTGCCTCCAGAAGCGGTGAATGCTCCAACACTGGAAGTTTTTAAGAAGAGACTGGACAGCCATTTGTCCGAAATGGTGTAGGGTTTCCTGCCTGAGCAGGGGCCTGGACTAGATGACCTCCAAGGTCCCTTCCAACTTTATTATTATTATTATTATTATTATTATTATTATTATTATTATTATTATTATTATTATTATTATTATTATTATTATTATTATTATTATTAAAAATACATATAAATAAGAAACATACATCAATACCATGGAACAGCTACAAATCCATGGACATATTCAAAATTTCCGCCAAATATAGAGCAGGTAGATAAACTGGAATGAATGTACAAATTACTTAAGAAATGCATGTGTGCTGTGCAGTCA